AACACTACTAAAGAGCAAGTAAGGTTTCCATACATACTACACAACCACAGTAATCAAAATAGCTTGTTACTGGTGCAAGGCTAAACCAATGGAACAGAATTGAGAATGCTGAAGTAAGTACATTAATCAAGATAGCTGATATTTTGCAAGGAGCTGTACCATTAAATGGGGGTTAGTCTCTTTAACAAAGTGATGGCAAAATTGTGTATCCATTTGTAGAATAGTTACAAAGAACCCATATCTCATAACATATGCAAAAACAAACTCAAGATGGATCAAAGATCTAAATATAATACCTATAATTATAAAGATCAATAATGAAAACAATAGGAGCAACTTTAGTGGCCCCAATATATGACATAAATACACTATCAAACAACAGAAGGAACAATAGATGACTAGGAGGTCCTAAAAGTAAGACAATTTAATTAATGGAAGGACTGCTCTTAAAGGGACCACATTGGAAGGTCTTTGGTAGAATGGGAGAAAAAACTCCAAATCATTAAAACATAGTTAATAATCAGGTTCACTGGTCAGAGAGAGGGTGGTGGAATCCCAGAGGCTATGGCCGTTAGTTATTCTAAAAGTCTGGAAATGAACTTACTCTCATGGATCCATTTTCAGCCAAACAACAGACAAGGGAACATAACAATACCAAAAACTACAAAGGAAAGGAAATATGTACACCTCAGAATAATAAACCAGTTGAGATAAAAATGTAGCATGTAACCAAGGACAAAACTCAGAAGGCTTAGGAGAGAAGGATACTTGTAGAAAGTTGAATAAGTGATGTACACTTGAGAGGTTGGAAACAATGACATGAAACAAAATGTGTATGAATCGTTGATCGGAAAACTGATCTGCTTTGTAAAGCTTACCCAATTCACAATAAAGATCTTGAGAGAGAGAGATTGGATATCTATGATTGTCTTGGGGAAGCTTACTAAACAATTTTTACAAAATGTTTACTAGTCAAAGATACCAAAGAAGAATATCACTTAGGAAGTTTGTCTTTGAGATTCATATAAAAAACCTTTGGGAAAAAATAGTTGTTGAATATTTCAGTGTCTATTCTACTTTAAACTTTTATGTGAACACATTCTCTATGTTTCATAATTAATGAACATTGTTTGCCATACTTGCAGTGTAAATGAATCTGAACCTTCTTTTGAAGCAGCCAGAAGGTATTATTTCTATTTCAACTTGAATTTAATAAGAATAACTTTCCTCCTCAGACTTTACTTGATACTTAAACTCTTGTTCCTAAATCATGGTTGATGATCTACAGTCATGCTAGCATATTACCAATATCAGTGATTCTCAACCTTTGTAATCGGCCAAAAAAATCAGTTTGCCAAACAAAGTTGTTCATTGTGAGTCAGTGAGTCACCCATGTCTCAATTTCAATTGAAACTCAGTTCTTCACAAATTGGGTTTGGGATCTGATCAAATAAAATTATAGGAATTAATGCATATATTGATTGTAAGTTAAACAATGACAGCAGGATCTTCCTTTAATATAGAGGTGGAAAGCTAAATGCTTCATGTTTTTTTTTTTTTAAAAAGAAAGAAACACAATTAAAAGACCAGGGACAAAGGGAACACAAATGTCAGAGGTTGAGAGCCACTGTGTTACTGCACTTTTAGTTGTTTAAGATATTACTAGCAACTATACATGATCATGTCTTCTAAACTTCTAGGTCAAAATACTTCAGGATAATAGCATTTCTAACTCTCCTTTAAACTTACTCTCTTTTAACCTTAATGAGTACTGACAAACCATGAACTAACTGTGGAAGTCTGGCTTTTCGGTTGACCCTACCCAATTATTTATCTTCAAGTCACATGTATTTTCCTAATTATTATAAATTAGCATCTGCTGTATAGACACATGGCAATCAAAAATAAGCAGGAGTACATGAAATTTCTCATGATTTTTAAACAAATCATTTCAATATATATTAAATAAGTACTTTTAAAATAGTTTATATTAATATTGAAATGTAGCACTCAAACTATTTTCTTTCTTTTGAGCTCATATGTGTATATCCACCATTCCTGTGGGCTCAATTCCAACTGATAGTGACCCTGCAGGACAGAATGGGATCGCCCTAAAGGGTTTCCGATCTTGACTAAAGCAGACGCCAAATCTTTCTCCCCAGAGGGGCTGGTGGATTCAAACTGCCAAACTTTTAGTTAGAAATTAGGCACTTAACTCTGTACTAACAGGGCTCCTACATTGTGATATATATTTTATATGTATGACTACATTATTATATAATATATATAACTATATGCCGTTAAAGTCCTGGTGGTGTAGTGTGTTACACATTGGGCTGCTAACTACAAGATCAGCAGTTGGAAACCACCAGCCAATCTGTGGGCGAAAGATGAGGCTTTCTACTCCCATGAAGAATCGCAGTCTGAAACTCAAGGGGTATTCGAATCTGTGCTGTTGGGTCATTAAGAGTCAGACTCGACTTGACGGCAGTGAGTTTGGTTTTAAGATTTGGATATATATGTAAAACTATCATCTTAAATGTGTTTATGTGATTAAGTCACAGGCATGTACTATAATTATAGTATCAGTTCTTTTCAAAAATGTCTACATATGAAATTCATAGCTATATAAAATGCTTGTAAAATAACTGCAGTGAATGAAGAGAGAAAATTTCTATTGATGTTTTCATTAAAGATTGTACTTATTTTAAAAAGTGAAATTTAAATGACTAGTCTATATTTTCAAACACTTCTTCAGCATGGTAAACTCAAATTTTATGCATTGCATTATATTTTGATGAGATTATAATCCCTTTTAATTTAGCTGGAACATCTAACCATTAATTATTAAGGTTGGTGGTTGATTAAAATGTTCTCTTCTTATCTGTTGGAGATATTTTATCTATTTGTGTTTCCCAGAGTTAAAACACAGTACTCCTATGTGTATATCACAGCGCCGTTTCTTAATCCCTTAATCCTGGTGTTTGATTCTGCTGTTTTCATTTTCTAGTAAGAACAAATATTCTGTGGCTTATGCAGCACAGAAGCCTTGGCTATTAAATGCGACTGTTGAAGAAAATATTACCTTTGGAAGTCCTTTCAACAAACAAAGGTAATTTTTAATAAACCACAAAATCTGGAAGTAGGCAATGATTTCTGAAACCGTTACAACCAGGGTTTGTTTTCCCCCTTAATCCCATTCTCATGGCCACTCTTTAAAACAGAAGTCTCATAGAAAGTTTCAGCCCACCCTGTTGAAGGCAATTTGTATACCCAAACTCAAGAGCAGAAGACTTAAAGAGAGAGAGAGAGAGAGAGAGAGAGAG